TAAACAAGATTTTTGTGAAAGAAGTGGAGAATTTATTATACCAATAAGCTAAAATTGTCTTTACAAGATTTAATTCTCTCAACTTTCTAATGTATACAATAATGATATAATTCTTGTGTTAAGCATTTGAAGAGCATACGCCTTATGAAGTGAGCCAAATCTTGGAGTTATGGATAAAGTAGAATTCTTAATCCCGAAGTCCTTGGCCCAATCAAACTCTTGATCCATGATGAAATTTGATCCCTTATCTATCCGAACTTTTAAATCAAAATTATTTGAGCTTCCTCCATAAATTCACATGGAATTTGAGTCACAACCTAACAAACTCTACATTGACATAAACTCCAAAACAAGGAATTAAATATTTGCTCTTCAAGTCATTCTCCAACTCTTCCACCATGCCACTTTCGGGTGTACCATGCCTTTGTCAGGCATACTCGGCAACGGTAAACTAAATCCAAGCAGTGCTTACCAGCAGAACTATCTTGCACACCAACCTTGCTTGAGTCATCCCGTTCACCTCCAGCTCCAGTTGAGTCACAAAGACTGCTCGAATTGCCATGAGAACTTTCCAACTCCACCTGAGTTGCCGAATCAACTCGAATCACAACAAGCAACATGATCGACAAAATCAAAACTAAATCCATCTGAGCTACTGGGAAGTTCTTCAATATCATTGCTCGATTCACAATGAACAACCAGATCACAACCAACTCTACCCGAGTTACCTCTTATCGAACCATAAGCTGCAGCTGCATCCATAGTGACCGTTGAACCTTCTAACACATATAATCGGTACTTTCTCCACCTCCTTAACACAATCCAGGCACCCTTGCTAACTTTCAAAACTTCCCCTTCATCGGTATACCTGTAACTTTTTGAATCGAGAGTACTCAAAGAAATTACACTCCTATTTATATCTAGAACATGTTGAACCCGGCCAAGTGTCCTAGCTGTCTCATCAAACATCTTGATTTTGACATTACCAATCCCAACTATTTTGGAAGGCTCATTAATTCCCATAATCATGGAACCCCCTGTAACCGTTTCATATGAAGAAAACCAATCATAGTTTGGACACATGAAAAGTGCAAGCTAAATTAAGAATCTAATCCTTGTTATGTTTGGAGTCACCATCAGTAATTACGAAAAGATCTCCATCACTGCAATCTTCTTCAGCAAGACTCGTATCACCGAAATTTCATGGTTGTCCCTTCTGATTTGTAGTAGCAAACCTGTTCCGCCACTCATAGCAATCCCTCTTCATGTACCCCTTATCCTTGCAATATCAACAGACTATATCATTGACTTTGTCCCTTCCATGACCACCCATCTTCCTCTCACGAATAACAAGACCCTTTGCATGGGCCTAAGATCCGACGATCAGATGCTTCACCTTTTCCTTGAAATAAAGTGCATCATATACATCATCAATAGTAAAAATGACTCGACTATAGAGAATGGTATCTCTAAAATCACATAGGAAGGCGAAAATGAACATAACGATATCAGCCCCAAATCCTCCTATCATACTTAAACTCCATGGTCTCCAAGTCAACGACGATTTCCTTGAACACCAGTAGATATCCTTCCAAAGATCCACATTCCCTCAAGCAATGAGAATGCAACCACTGCTTCAAGTGTAACTTACATATTAAGCTCTTGCTCCAATTTTAGCCACAACCTAGAGACATTTTCTCCTTTATCGCATTCTAAAAAATTTGATTACAAAGATGAAGATGTATCAGGCTTTTCGATCTTTCCGTTGCTTCTCCTCTATAGTCATTATCTCTAGCATTCTATCTATCTCCAACAAAGTATCATCAAGATCTGATTGGGTAAGAACAGCTTACACCTTGACCTACCACAAAAAGAATCTACTGTTGCAATCCCAATTAGAATCTCAAATTTTATAACTATTATCCTTGAAACAATTGACCTTACTTCAACCTCTCTTTAATATTGAATATGGACCTCCTAGCTACTTTGACATTACCAATCCCAGCTATTTTAGAAGGCTCATTATTTCCTATCATCATGGAACCCCTGTAACCGTTTCATATGAAGAAAATCAATCCTAGTTTGGACACATATGAAAAGTGCAAGTTGAATCAAGAATCTAATCCATCACTAAAATCTTCTTCTACAAGACTGGCATCGTCGAAATTTCTTGATTGTCTCTTCTGATTTGTAGTGGTAAACATGTTTCGCCACTCACAGCAATCCCTTTTTATGTGCCCCTTATCCTTGCAATACCAACAGACTATATCACTGTTACTATCCTTGACTTTGCCCCTTCCACGATCACCCATCTTCCTCTCACAAATAATAAGACCCTTTGCCTGGGCCTAAAATCCGACGATCAGATGCTTCATCATTTTCGTGAAATAAAGCACATCATATACACCATCAATAGTAAGAGCAACTCGACTATAGAAAATGGAATCTCTACAAGTCACATATGAATGCGACAATGAATGTAACAATATCAGCCCTAAATCCTCTTCATCATACTTGACCTCCATGGTCTCGAAGTCCGCAACGATTTCCTTGAAAACCAATAGATGATGATCTTCCGAAGATCCACATTTCGTCAAGCGATGAGAATGCAACCGTTGCTTCAAGTTTAACTTACGTATCAAGTTCTTACTCCAATTTTAGCCATAACCTAGCAGCATTTTTCTCCTTTACCGCTTTTTGAAAATTTTGATTAGAAAGATGAAGATGTATTGGGCTTTTCGATATTTTTCATTGCTTCTCCTCCACAATCATTGTCTTGGGCATTCTATCTATCCAACAAAGTATCATCAAGATCCAATTGAGCAAAAACAGCTTGCATCTTGACTTACCACAAAGAGAATCTACGTTGCAATCCCAATCAGAATCTCAAATTTTATAGCTGTCATCCCTGAAATAATTGACATTACTTCAACATTTCTATAATATTGAATATGAACCTCCCAAGAACCTGTCAAAAAACATTGAGTTTTGATACCACTTGTTATAATTCTGACAAAACGTAAAACCACTTTATTGAAAGTGAAACAATTTTGATACCAATTTGATGAGAATTTGGCCAAATAATTAAAGAACGAGAAAATATGGGCAATATAAAAATAATGGATCACACTACAAACAAGATTTTTGTAAAGAAGTGGAGAATTTATTATACTAAGAAACTAAAATAGTCTTTACAAGATTTAAGCTCTGTTTAGGTCGTATACTTTCAAAAAATACATTCTTAAAAGGTGATTTGACATCATTTCAACCACACATTCTTCAATAAAATAATATTACACGTAAATCCAAAAATTTTCCTCATTTTTTAACCACACATTTTCTATCAATCTATTATTTCAAAATAATATGGCTCAAACACACACTTAATTTTAATCTAAATCTAAACTATTCTATCATGTTTATAATGTATAAAACAATGTTCTAATTGTTATATTGAGCTTTTGAAGAGCCTACACCTTATGAAGTATTTATAGGAGCTAAATCTTTGAGTTATGAAAAAAAGTAGAATTCTTAATCTCAAAGTCCTCCTCCCAATCAAACTCTCAGTATTTGATGAAATTTGATCCCTTATCTATTTGGACTTCTAAACCAAAATTAACTAAACTTCCTCCATGAACTACACTTCCAAATTACATGAAATTTGAGTCACAACCTAACAGGCCCATTGTACTCTATTTGCATAGATCGGATCCTTGAACCCAACTCAACTCAAAGGTGGACTTATATTGGCCTTTCCCTTTATAAGGCCTGGCCCATTGGACTGTATATTAGAAGAAATGTGTGAATAGACCGCGTCTCTGAATGATGGGTACAAGCGAAATATGATAACTGCATGTGACTTTATGAAATGTAGTACATTGCAAGATTTTAGGAGCACAAACTACCATGTCCAATAGGCCCACTAAGAATGACTTTAGATTGTGTTGCAACAAATGTGTGAGAACAAAAAAATTGCTCGAAGAATGTTTTCTTCTCTATATCTTCTCCTCTCCAAAAGTTAAGAAGAAAGAGACTGCATCACTCCCTTCGTTATATCTTTTTGTTCTGCGAAGATAGTTTTTTTAAATAATCAAACATAAAGTCATAAAATATTAACTTACTCCCTGTTTTTCTTTACTATGATCAATGAAGCTATTTGGGGAAGTAAGAGTTCTACCGTGCTCTGAACAGAATGAGGACATTAGAACTTGATCGATAGAAAACTTATCATTTCTTTAAAAGTTGTATTATTATGCCCCATATTCGACAATCATTATTTTCAAACTCTTTTCTTATCATACTCATTCTCAATCATATATTTATACAATAAAATATTCTACACGTAAACTTAAAACTTTCCTTTACTATTTAATCACACCTCTTTAAAAATGAGTATTGAAAACTCTATTTTCTTCAAATAATAGTTGTCTAAAAGGGGCTGAATTTGAAGAAAATAACCCATTCAATTTATTTTCAAGATGCCCCCTCATCTATATGTTAAATTAATTTTTCATCATGACTCGTGCCAACAAAATTTTCATAATCAGATAACTATAAAACTTAAAACTCGGACATTATACATTAATTATTTAATTTATCTAACAATAGGAATTAGTGAAATTTGACTTTGGCATACGTTCTAGTATTATTTTTTTTTTCTTTTTAATATTTTTCATGAGTTAGTCTACACGTACAGAAATTTAAGTGTACAGATGTTGTATAGAATACTCACATCAAGGCGGGTGCGTGATTTTTTTGGCAATAAAATATTCATGTGGGATCCACCGTTTGTAAGACTCTGTACACATTCTGTAAACTTAAAATTAAAATTCTGTACACTCAGAATTTTTGATTTTTCATAGGCTTTATTTGTTTTGAGGTGAATAAAGGAGGAAAATTCAGAAAAGTATTCCTTATCTGTCTCCACTGAAATCGATTATGAAAAATTATGGGAGAAAAAAAATTGTTATCCAAAAAGAATGAAAACAAAATACTGTATAGTATTTGCAACAGAAGTATTGCTTTTGCACGAGATAAAATTTCTCCGGTTACAGTATCAGTCAATTATACGACTTAAAATTGGTACGAGTAAATTCTACATTATCATAAAAATTCATCGCCATCTTTTGACTCAAATCCGTCACAAACCTCAAGAATCAATCTTGATCTCAGTAAATGTCGAGGATCTCAAGAATCAAACGGTTGCAAAGGGGACAATTACCTCGATTCAACCACAACTCTCTTGAACAAACTCTGCAAAAAGTGTGCCCACATGGTATGAATGCTGCACCTTTTTTCCTTCCCATGCACACGCAGCACACTGAATCACCACTCCCACCTCCTGCTGCTCCTCTTTCCTCTTTCTTCACTTCTTTATCGCAATAATCCGTTTCCTCAAGTAGTCTCATCAACGACACTCTAAATGGGGTCCTCGGTGCGGTTCCTGCAGTTACATCGTACCATTCATTGTTACTGGACCTTGCTGGGCTTGGGCTTGGGCCTGGGTCAATTCCTCCATTATCCGAATCTAGCGCTGCTCTGAGGTGGCGTTCCGCCGCCAATGCCGCCGCCAAGTTCATCCCCGATGCCGCTGGAGAATGACTGATGCAGTCTGGAGTTGACTCGATTTGCGGCGGCGCGTGGTTTACAGTTATGACCTCAATTTGTGGTTCCAGTGGGCCATACTCTTCTTCATCGTCGTCTCGTTCACTAACGGTGGTTGGCCGGAGGGCCCATGTGCTCCCACAGCACCCAATATTCTTCAATCCAAGCCGTTCAGCAAGAGTTTTTCTTCTGATCACGCGATCAACGCCGTCCATTCTGTCTCTCAATGGCTCCACTATTGTCCTTGCTCCTCTTTCTATTTCTACTCTTGCCTGAAATCCAAACCCCAAAATTTCACCAATTTGGCTCATTCTTTCACAGAACAAAACACACACACACACACAAAAAAAAAAAAGGGACTTACAATATTCAGTATTCACACACCACAAACAGAAACTCGCAAGCATTTATGTACATATTTGTTATATTGTGAAATTAATGCATAGTTAATAGGGTGGTGAAGAGAAAACGTACTTACAGAAAATGAATGACTGAGAGGTTAAACCTTTGAAATCTCGTGAGTTACATCAAGAATGACCAATTCAATTCACAAAACAAAAGTGGATCGACAAAAGGAGCAAAAGAGTATTAATATGAAAGGAAAAGGTGATGGCCCAGAAAATAAAACTGATTGGGTTTTTTGTGATCTCATTGACAGATCCTAGAGAGAGATAAAGAAATGGAGGGAATACTTAGTTGAAGATTATAGAAACAAACAAATGAAGAAAAGAAAAATTTGTGGGGCTTCCAGTTGAGCTTACTTTCATTTTTCAATTCTATAATATTTTAGTTGTCTATTAAGCTGATGATATTACATGAAGAGGTTTAATATTATAAATTTTTTGGTGGGAATTAAAATTAAATTTTTAGATATATTTTAATATAAATAAATAAAATGTGTGGTGAAAAAGTTATAAATTTATTTATTTATTCTAATTTTATTCCTATTAATTATGAATGAGGCGTATATGTGTATTTTTCTGCAATATTATCGCCGGCAATGACTAAGTCAAAATCCCGGAGAAGCAGACGCGTGGAACAAGTTCGCACCATGTGGCAGTTGCCTTCATAATTCAGGATACTGTTTTCCATCCAAATGGTAGACCGTTATGGAATTAGTTCATTTCTATCCGTTTCTAACTTTTTTTAAAATTAAATTAATGCTATTTAACTTCACAATATTAATCTAATTAGCATGTCACTAATATAGGAATAATTAAATGAATAGCATGATTCCACCTTTCATTGAGCTCACTAAATGGATGTTATGGCTAGATAGCATTATTCTTCTAATTATATATGAATAAATGTGATTACGGTGAAAGTTATACTATATTATTCAATTTGTGGTTGAAACCAATGCACATAACGTAGCTTCTGAAATGTAAAACAAATAAGTCAAGATGCATTTTTATCGCCTCTTCAATATTGAAGTCAGTAGACATAAAAGTCAACTATAATTGTGTAAATAGTAATCATAGATCATGTATTTATGTAGTTTCTTCACCGTAGTTCGAGGGTAATTTAGACATTCAAGAAATCACACAAAGATTTTAAACTTGAATTTCTAAAGGCTCAAGTCATGCCCTTGCTCATTGAGAGTATGTTTAGCGAGTTGTAGAAATTTCGTCTAACGTTATAATGGATATTACTAAGTAAAGAGTACTATGATGGATCAATGTAGATAATAATATTTCGGTTTTAATTGAAAATAATGTTTTACTATATTTTTTTCTTCGGCTTGAACTTAACACGGATGACTATCTTTTGAATGAAACATTAAAGAATATTATTCAACTTAATCAATCATAATACTATTTACCGATTACTATTCATTGAAATTTTTTAATAAATTCATTATAGGTCAAACGTAGCCTTAAAACGGATATCGCAATTATGAGATAAATGATTGAAATATTTTATATTTTGGCCAATTATTGACGTAATTTTCTTGCATGCTTGTGGTCCAATGTTATGGCTTTCACGCAACTAATACTACTTCCCTATCACAATATTAAACTAAGCCGTAGAAATTATAAATTAAAAAATATGTGATTGCTAGAGACGAAATTTAGACACATTTGTCGAATTTGTACACATAGTTTAGATAATTGTTTATGATATTTAGTTTTGGTATCATTGAGGTTTTTGTATCCAAGTTTTTCTCAATTCCCTTCTCTCTTTGTTTATGATATTTAGTTTTGGTATCATTGAGGTTTTTCTATGAAAGCTTTTCTCAATTCCCTTCTCTCTTTGTTTTTTCTATGTTGTTGTGCAATCTGCTATTATAATTTTTAGGGTGCGTTTAATTGTTAATATTTTTCCATTGAAATTTCTAATTTTGTACAATTTAATTGACATTTTTTTTTTCATGGAAAACATTTTACTACTTTTGATCACGTGACCGTATTTTTCTCAAAATCAAGAAAAATACTTTTTTAGGGGGAATAAAATTTTATTTTTTAGGGAATTCACTCTCTTTCTCTCTCATTCACTCATCAATAAAGATCGGACAAATATAATATTTTTAAGTTGAAATTAAATCATTCAAATATATTTAATTGTCAATTTCTATTCAAATAAATTCTAGGCAATTGAATTACCTAAATTTTATTTTCTTTCCATACAAATTCTTTGCTTGCAATCAAACGCACACTTAGTGAAGTCTCCTTGTATTTGAATTTCTTGTCAATAATATATATGTGACATTAAAGAGAGTTTGATTTTGTTAATTAGATTGTCATAAATACAAAATAATTAAATATTTACACCAACTAAATTGGATTACAATTTGTCACTGTTTGACAATCATTATTTTAAATTTTTTTCTATAAACTCATTTTTAACCATACATTTATACAATAAAATATTTTGCACGTAAATTCAAATTTTTTTTTCTAAAGATCATTATTTAAAACTCTATCTTTCATAAATAATGGTTGTCAAATAAAGGCGATGTGTAACTCATGAAAAAAAAAATGTTTATTTGAAATCGAAGTTGTATTTTCTCACATTTTTCTAGGCTTGTGATTTTTTTGACCAATGCACTTTCCAGTTAAAAGTTATTGCGGGGTGAGATTTGAAATAAAGCAAGTTTTGGGCTGTTGGTCCACAGCTTCGAAATATTAACATGCTCGACTTTTGCGAGGCTACATACGTAATATACAAGGTTCCCAGCAACATGTGAATTTGGAATTGAATTGTCTGAAATTTGACTCTAGGCCCCTGTTTGGCCTTTTATTACGTGGAAAAATTAATGGGTGTAATAGTATTTTTTTGAAAAATGAGTAATTGAAAAAGAAAGAAAAATTTTCAATTTACGTGTAATATTATTTTATGAAAAATTGTGTGGTTGAAAATAGGAGAGCGAAAAATAATATGTAATGTAATAAAAATTAATGGGGCTCAAACAGGGCTTAAAAGATTAAGAAAATTTGTAGGCATTTTTTACTGTTAGTTTGAATTCAAATAAGTTTATTCTTTTAATAAAATTAAAATTCAGTAAAAGTTCAAAATTAGACATTTTGTGGGGCTGATATTGCTAGAAATTTAAGTGTGTCTCGTACGGAAACATTACGTTTTTAAATTTATCTTCTTCTTTTTTTTATATCCCCTCACTAATCATAGCCCATTGACCCTCATTAATTTTCATTACATTACATTTTATTTTTCTCTCTCTCTTACTTTCAACCACACAATCTTCCATAAAATAATATTACACCTAAATCGGAATCTTTTCTTTCTTTTTCAACCATTCATTTTTCAAAAAAAAATTATTCCGCCCATTTTCATTTCCACAAAATGGGAGCCAAACGGGGGTATATTATGATTGTTCATTTTTACATGGCATTCTTTTGTTGAAACTTCAAATTTCATGAAATTATAAATTTTAGAACTTGAAAAACTTAAATTCATTTATTGTCAAGATTCTCCAAGTCAAATCACCAAGATAATTAATAATACATAACATGCCCTAATTCTTTGAGAATGATTTTTTATTACTGAATCTTGATTTCGGATCTTGAATCTTGCAACTTGAACTGCAATCTTTTCATCTTTGGTTTCTTTATTTTTTATTTTGAATTTTGCCTCCTTTGATGATTTAAATCTTGTTTTTGGTTTTACTTCTTGATCCATAATCTTGATTTTTGAATTTTTTTTCTTCTTAATTGTGGGTATTTGATCTTCCTCTTTAATATGCTTTTTCTTGCATTCTTGTGTGGTGTGATGATACAAAGAATGAGAAATTGCATATTAATTGGAGAACCACAGCACAATATGTAGTTTTTATATGTATTTCGCTCATCATGAAATACAATGCCAAATGAATATGATCTCTACACATATAATCTGGGCCACACTTTATTTAGATACCCTAAGCCCAACCATTTAATTCTTTATTAGATTACATTAATTTTGGACTTAACTTTAAGATAGCCTTACACATCATTAAGTGGAAATTACACCTAGACAGATTTTTAAAGATGATAATTCAAAATGAGATATAAGGTATACTTTTTCATAAATCAGATTATAATTCAACTATTGATATTAACATATATTATAAAATATTCACTCTACCCAATTCGATCTAATCTACCAAATTTAAACCAAACCCTAATATTCTCTCTCTCTCTCTCACATGATGGTCGATGTCGAATAACATCTTTACCTTCTTTCTAATCTTACTAACATTAGAAGACGGCCATTAGAAAATCATGGTCGAGTAGCATTCACAACGGTGATCACGCCACTATGTGTGGCGCTGTAACGCAGTGGCAATGCCGTTGGGTACGATGTGATGATGCCTCGCTTCAACGGACATTGCATCACAATATCACCACTGCACTTGGCAGCACTACTTAGCAGCATCTAGTACTGTGTTGACAACAGCACCGTGAATCGTAGCCTCCAACGCTACGAATGAAATAATTCAATGCTACCACACTACGGCCAGTGTTGAGAAACTTGTAGAAAATCGAAAATAAGCAGATTCTTGAATTTCCATGTTGAAATCAATGAGAAAACAAGATAAATGCAGAAGTATACTTTGATCCATAAATCTTAATTTTCTAAAATCAATTATGATCTTCCAACTGTTACGTGATTTCTTAAGATATGTTATCTGTTGATGGGGATGCAGAGAATTTTGAAAGTCACATGCAATTGGAGACCACGACCCATATTAAATAATTAATTATTATCTTTCAATTATTTCAAATTGGCCCCTCAACAATTTAAAATAATTATTCCGATCTCCACACTTTGTTTCCATGAAAATTAATACACATTAGTCCAAAATTAAACTCAATAGATCACCTTATGGACTTAACCTTAAAGATAGCATCACACATTTTAATATATACATGTGTGGCCCCATATGATGGAATTTCTCCCACAATCTCCCACTGGGCCATACATGTAATATTAGAAATGTGTGCAACTTTACGAGCTCAAACTTTTGCTATCATTGTTAATGGTATTTTGAAACAATCTCGTCCATCAGTCACATTAATGTAGGATCAAAGCGATTTTCGTCACATTTAGCGTGACTAAATTCACCAATGGTCACGTACACTCATATACCCAAATGACATAGATCAATCATGGGAGTGTAGCATGAAAATTACATGTTATGTGATCCAAATATGTCTATTTCCAACTGGTCCAACCTTATTTCTTAAGTGAGATCAACACTGAACATAATAACATGGTGGAATGAACTGAATACTTCATTTCTGTATAGAAAAATATCCAAATACACAAATGTGTCCAAAATAAA